AGTGCTTGGAGGGCGGAGTCCAGTGGTCCTTACCGGCCACGCGGACGCTTCTTGGGCTGACGACCAGGCTACGCAGCGGTCGTCACAGGGTTACACCTTCAGCCTTGGTTCCGGCTCTGTCTCGTGGCGGTCTACTCGCTCGTCTTCGGTTCTCGGCTCCAGTTGTGAGGCTGAGATCTACGCCGGGGCCATGGCTGCACAGGAGCTTCGCTGGCTCACCTACCTGCTGACTGACCTTGGAGAGCCGCCTCGTTCTCCTCCAGTGCTGTACGTAGACAACAAGGCCATGCTGGCCTTGTGTCGAGAGCAGCGCTTGGAGCACAGAACGAAGCACATTGCTCTCCGCTACTTCCTTGCTCGTGAGCTGCAGCAGCGTGGTCAGTTGCGACTTGCGTACGTGGCCTCTGAGGCCAACACTGCTGATGTGTTCACCAAGGCACTTGCGCCTTGTGATCATCAGCGCTTTTGCACCCAGCTGGGTCTTGTGTCTGTCTTGCCTCACTTGCTCTCCTCTTGACTTTACTTGTACTGTGACATATATATATACCTGCTCTTGCTTGTCTAGTTTTATATATATGTCTGTACTCCTGTATGTGAACTGGCCTCTGGCCCTGCTCTTGTGCTCGGACTGTGTGGTGACTTTGTGATCCACCCTGAGCTTGCTTTGCTTTGCTTGACTGGTCTTGTGACCCCTTGTTCTCCCCCACTTTGCCTATGGGGGTGTGTCAAACATTATATATGTTATGCTTGTGTAGGCTACAATGGGTTAGCCTATAGGGGGTACACAATTCTAGGGTTTACTACTTGTACTCATTTCACTTCTAGTTCATCCATTCCTGTTCGCTTATTCTCACAGAAGCTGGTGGCGACGGTGCAGCGGGCGACGAGGAAGACGTGTTCCCCGACCGTGACGAGGACGAGGACGGTGTGGAGTCCTGGTGGCGCGACGCACCACGCGCGAAGATGCTGGTACCGACGTATCCGCCCCTTAACAAAAAACGCCCCCACCCGTCTACCGAGAATCGAGATGCCCGCCCCCCCTCCCCCAGGCACAAGCTGAATCAACATAAGCGGCAGTCCTACACCGCCCAGGAGAAGTTGAGGTGGCTCGTGCGGCTCGAGCTTGCGGCTTCGGTGAGCGAAGTGGCGCGGGAGTCAGGCATACACCGAAAATGTCTGACAGAATGGAAAGCCCAAGCGGAGGCGCTCAAGGCTGCACACAGAGCACGGATGCGACTTCACGGGCGCGGGAGGTCGTCTTGGTACCGCCCCATGGAGTTAAAGGTGTACGCGCAACTCCTCGACTGGCGACGCCGCGGAGATGCGGTTTCGGTCGGCCGGCTGCAAGAGTGGTCCAAAGAAGTGATGAAGGTTCTATCCCCGGACGTCAAGTGGAAAGGCAGTCAGCGGTGGACGGAGCGGTTCCGCAGGCGGTGGAACCTCAGCGTGCGCATGAAAACAAAGGTGGCACAGAAAACACAGGAGCGTAAGTGGGTCGTTTACCACTGATTTTGGTGGGTACCCGACTACGTTTCGTTTTATTTTCGCATGTCTCCTGTGCGTCATACTAATTCGGTTTACTATTTGTACCTTTCTCCCTGTTCCGCAGACGTGGCTGAGTAGTGCAAGGATTTTTGGCAGTACGTACGTGACGCCCGGCACGAATACGACATTGAGAACCGCTACATCATCAACGCCGACCAGACACCGCTGTGGTTGGAGATGCCGGCGACGACCACCGTGGAGCAGACGGGCGTAAGGTCGGTGCCCATTCGCAGCGGTGGGTACCAGAAGGAGAGAGTGACCGTCATGCTTGCGTGCACGGCGACGGGCGAGAAGCTGAAGCCGTGGGTGTTTTTCAAGCGCAAGACACTCCCCAAGGGTGACTTCCCGAACGGTAAGTCATCGTCCACCGTGTTTATTCCCATTATTACCTGAGTCGTTAACCGTTCTTTTTCGTTGCGTGCAGATGTTGTGGTCGGCTGCCAAGCGAACGGGTAGATGGAGGCCGCAGGCGTCATCGAGTGGCTCAACACGGGCGTGGTGCCGTTCCTGAAGCCGAAATTCGGCCTGCAGAGTCGTAGCGCCATGCTGGTGCTCGACTCGTATCGCGGTCACCTGACACCAGAAGTCAAGGCGAGATTCGCGGCGCTCAACATCGTGCCTGCTATCATTCCGGCGGGTTGCACGGCAGACCTGCAGCCCCTCGATGTGTCGATCAACAAGAGCTTCAAAGCAAGCATTCGTCAGCAGTACCAGAATTGGTTTGAGGAGAACGGCATGAACATCCTGACCCCGGCAGGTAAGTGACGGCATGTGCTCCTGTCTGCAAATTTTGAGCTTGAATGCATGTTTACTTGTTTCGTGTTTTCCCCGCCCCACTCCGTGTGATGCAGGGAACATCAAGAAACCACCTCCGGCGGTGGTGCTCAAGTGGATTTCACGGGCCTGGAAGGCGGTGCTCGCCGACCTCATCAAGAAAGCCTTCCTCACTTGCGGCATCAGCAACGCCCTTGATGGGAGCGAAGACAAACTGGTGCTGGCGCACCGAAGGTGCCAGTTGTCCCATGAGGTGGAAGTGGACGACGACATCCAGGCAGATGGGTTCTGGGGCAACAACTCCACGGAGCCTGAGTCGGACGAGGAGGAAGAATAGGCAGTAGGGTAGATTAGGTAGGTTGAAAGGTGTAGTGCAGGACAGCAGAGACCACCCTTGTATGTGATTGTCATACTTAATGGAAAGTTTAGAACATGTAGGCTAGGTAGGTTAAAAAAAATGAGATTCTTTTTTTTTTTAATCTAAAAGGGTGCGCTTATAATAAGTCAAGAATTCCAAAGGGGTGCGCTTATAAATGAGGATCGGCCATAAGCGCATTGCTCCAGATACAAGCGCATGCGCTTAACATAGGCCTGCGCTTCTATCCGGGGCCGTGGATCAGCTTTTTATTATGACAGAACGAACACTCCGACGCACTTAGATAATCGAAGGTGTTCAGCAGCGTGTACGCGAGCACAGAGCAGCAAGCCAGCCAGCCCTTGGGTTTGTCGCTCGCGAAACTTGGCATTGACACTGCGGGCTTGCACATTTGAACCATGTGAATTTTGTTGGAAGTGTCAGCAAAGCCGTCAAAAAAGCTGGTTTCCCTACTCAACCGTTCTAGATGCTTAAAATACCGCTACAGAGCCGAAAGCACCTCACCGGAACGCAAATGATTTTTTGTCAGAGCTGCCTGAAGGGTGGGATGTCAAGCTCCAACGGTCACAACTTTCCGTCAACTCCTAGAATCACGTCCTCACCTGCAATGGCGATACTAATCTCCAGTCAAATCTTCGTGCGAATCCAAGCGTTTCGAAACTGGGATGTGGATTAGCGTCGACTAGCACTGCGAAGGAACTTACGAGCGGCGTGCAGAACGAGCCAGCACAGTAATAAATGAAAATGAATTTATGGCTGCTTGTCTCGGAACCCTTGCCGCTTGTCACCTGTCCGCGTCGTCGAATTCAAGGAGACACGTTCGTCTCGAGCTCTCTCGCGCGAGATTGTTCGGCCCAGCTGCTTCAGCAATGTCGTTCACTCCAGAGTGTCGCTTCGCCGGTCTCAGAACCTTGTCCAGCACCGTTCAGCACCGTCCAGCATATCGCCGCGCCCTGTTAGCGTTGCTCCTACCACCTCCCTGCCTCAAAAGATGCCTCTCGCGGCGTTTCCGCCTGCGACCGATCATCCCGCCGTCGGGCCGCGCTAGCAGCGGTGCTCGGGGGTGGCTCGGTCGATGCACATGCAGCAGCCACGTTGGTCCAAGGACCAGGGCCACCGGATCGCGTCCAACGCTGCTCCATGGGGATCAGAGTACCGCCGGAGCCTTCACGGTAGTGCGTTCCGTTCAACGCCGCTCCATTGTGGTACCTAGTTCCCACCGTTGCTAGCGTAGTTTCCACGTCCTCCCTGCGCGTTCCTGGGCCGGAAGCCCGTTGCTCGCCTTCCATGTGTCTGCCTTGCTCAAGGCCCTAGTTTGCCTTAGGGGACACTGTCTCAGACGAGGGTAGTTGGTTTCACAAGCAGCTTTTGAGTGGGTGGAATGAGCGAGCTGCTCGGTCTCCAACCTGCTGACTCTTGAACCCGCTTCAACCACTACTTGCAAGCGAGTCGTCAGCATCAGTGACACAAGCGTACGTGCTATCAACGCGGCCGCCAGCTTTTGCTATCTGATTCACTGCCTGAACCAGCAAGTTCCCCAGCGCCCCAGCCAAAAAAGAACGCTGACCGAGCAGGATAGCAAGTTTCTCCTACCACGAGTGAGCTTAACTGGGGAAGGAAATGCGGTCCTTGAGTTTCAACAGGGAGAAGGAGCACCCGATTCGCGTGCTAGTAGCTTGAAGCAGATATGCTGCTGCTGGTAGGCTGCTGTTTGGCAGGCAGTGTTGGGAGACTGCTATTGAGCAACAAGCTAGTAGCTTGAGGCGTATATGCTGCTGTAGCTCAGCTCCTGCCTGCTGCTGCCTGCTGCTGCAGCTGCTGCCTTTTTGCCTGATGGCTGGCTGCTACGCGGCTGCTATTAGGCAGGCTGCAGCCGTCACCCTTCAACTACACATGGCGTTTTCGTCGAGGGGTGTGGACAGGAACAGCGGTGGTGTGATGAGTGGTGCGATGCGGTTGAGAACTCACACTGTTTCCGGCTGTATCCTGTCTCTCTGGTCAGCGACAATGATGCTGCTGCTTCTGCTGCTTCTCCTGCTGCCTGCACGCTCACAAGGTATGGAGGATCATGTGGCCGATTCGAGAGTGGGCTAATTCGATTGGATATGAGGGTGGAAAGATCTGATTGAACAGGATGGAGTGATCTGATTGGATCCGAAGGCGGATTGATTCGATTGATTCAGAGAATGAGTTGATTCTTTTTATTTTTTTATTTTTTTTCATTCTCTTATTGTTTGGATTCGAGGGTTGATTGACGGGATCAAGTATTGGTTTCCTTCACACAACCGAATCGTCCTGTTTCTTTATGTGCCAATTTTCTTCGCTGTGTGCAGCTCAGCCATTTCCTTTCCCCTTCTTCTTTCCTTCCTCCTCTGGTGCCCCCAGTCTCTCGTCAACCCTTCCATCCAACCTCCCGAATCTAGCTCCCTCCACGTCATCATCAGCGCTTCCAGCCACGTCAGCAGCAGCACAGCCTTTACAAGGATCAGGAGGGGAGGCAGCAGGGGGGAGCGGATTTGCAGGAGCAGGAGGGGGGAGTGGAGAGGTGACATCAGGGACAACAGCCACGACAGCTACACAGGCGTCTCTGTTCCCCCCTCCTGTGTCAACCACTCAACAACTTGCATCCTCTTCACCCTCATCATTCGCGCCTGTTACAGCAGCTGATCTCCCCGCATCTCAACTGCAGTCCAGTACTTTTCCCACTCTCCCCAGCGGCCCCATTCCCCTCCCTCCGGTCCCTGTGTCTCCCCCCTTCAGCTTCTCCCTACCCTTCCAGTTTTCCACCTCCTCTGAACCATCAGCCTCCTCCACGCCCTCCCCTCCCTTATCCTCTCCCCCATCCCTCACTCCAACTCTCCCGTTTACCCCCTCTTCCTCCCCTTCTCCTCCCTCTCTGCCAAGCTCCTCCGCTCCCTTTCCGCCAAACTCCCCCTCTTCCCCCTCCCCTCCTCCCCCACCCCTTTCACGCACTTCATCCCCAGCATCCTTAAACAATTCCTCGCCCTCTCCCCCTCCATTCCCTGCTTCTTCCTCTTCCTCCTCTCCTTCCTCCTCTCCCTCCTCCTCGCCCTCCTCCTCCTCCTCTCCCTCCTCTGCTTCCTCTCCCCCCTCCCAGCGCTGCTTATTCGCAGGCCAGCAGCAGCCGTGTGTGTGCCTCTCACAACCAAACCCACCCACTACAACACCACAGCGCAACCAATCCTCTACTGTTACCGCCGCTGCCACCGCTGCTACTCCTGCCACCGCTGCCGCTGCTCCTGCTGCGTCTGCTGCCACTGCCGCTGCCCCTTCTGCCCCTATTGCCGTTGCTGGACGTTCCTCTCCTGCTGTCGCTACACCCACCGCTGGTGCTTCTCCAGGAATCCCCTCCGCCACCATTAGACTCGTTGCTGCAAGTGAACCTGCCCCCTCGTTGCCTGCTCCGGTCGTTGCCATCCCAGGGTTGCAAGTGTGCCTTGTTACAGGCTCCTTCGGCCCCTGCACTTGCACTCCTGGTAGGTTGACTTCATTTCACTACCCCGCATTCTGTAAGATGTCCTCTTGCCTTCTGTTTGTCCTGTTTCGTTCAATATGTTACGCAACAAAATTCGGCCCCAAAAATCATGAACTACAAACCAGGAATGCTCTGATTCGTTTATACTGTGCCCGTCCTCCCTCCCTTTCTTATTCCAAGCCGCCCGTTCTTGTGTGTCCCTCTCTTGTTCTCTTCTTCCCATCTTCGTGCCTGCTTTTCTGCCTGTCTGCCTGCCTGCATGGACCCCAATCCACATGCAGGTGATCCAAGCAGGCAGGCAGACCCAGATGCACCTGAGTCCCAGGTGGTCCCACCAACGCCACCACGTCCACCAGCCCAAAGCTCCAGCGTCTCTTCACCAGACCTGTTCCCTTCTGCCGCCACTGCTGCTGCTGCTGCCATTCGTGCACCAGGCGTCAGCCCCTCTCCCCATTCTCCCAACTCCTCTGCCACACCGATTCCCCCTGCCTCCCCTGCTTCTGCTTCAAGCCCATCGAACCAATCAGACGAGCTGGCTGCCGCCCTGGTTGCTGGTAAGAACGAACTCAAGCTGGCTTTTCTGATTTCTTATAAGATCTAACCGTTGCCAACCAGAGTAACTTTTTGGAACAGGAACTTCCAGTTAACCTTTCGCCTTTCCTGTCTGAAGCTTTACTGCTCTGTCCCCTTCTCTCCGCCTCCCTGCCTTCTCCCCTGCTTACTTTGTCCCGTCCTCACCCTCCTCTCTCCTCATCTCCCCCTTGTCCCCTCGTCTCCCTCTTCTCCCTCGTCTCCCTCTTCTCCCTCTTCTCCCTCTTCTCCCTCTTCTCCCTCTTCTCCCTCTTCTCCCTCTTCTCCCTCGTCTCCCTCTTCTCCCTCTTCTCCCTCGTCTCCCTCTTCTCCCTCTTCTCCCTCGTCTCCCTCTTCTCCCCTCTCCTCCCCTTTCTCCAATCTCACATCCCAGCCTCATCTCCTCAGCCAATGAGCATGCAACAGCTGGCTATCAAGCGGTGGCAGTGGGGGGCGTGCTAGCAATAGGGCTCATACTGCTTCTGCTCTTCGCTGCCGTGGGGTGCTGCGGTGACGTGTGTGGGGGGCTGTGTGAGGTTCTCATACTGTCTCTCTCCCTTCTATACCCCCTCCACATTCCAGCCCCACCCCCACAGCCAATGAGCGGCCAACAGCTGGCCATCACAGGCGCGGCGGTGGGCGGCGTGCTAGCAATAGGGCTCATACTGCTGCTGCTCTTCGCTGCAGTGGGCTGCTGTGGAGACGTGTGGGGGGGCTTGTGTGGGGGGTTGTGTGGGGTGAGAAAGAGAGGGGACGAGGAGAGTGTGTGGGTGGGTGAGTGGGGAAAGGGAAGCAGCTATGAGAAAGTTGAGAGGCGCAATCTGGGGGGTAATGTTGGAGCGCGTGGGAAAGGGCAGCAGGACAGGGAGGCGAGGAGGAAGACGAGGCGGGGTGGGAGAGAGGGGCAGAGCAAAGTGGAGAGGGAGAGGCAGGGCCCGGATAGGCCTTGGCACGTCAAGAAACAAGAGCAGCAAGAGCGTTCTGAAGAGAAGGTGCAGCAGCAGGCCGGAGGGAGGGCGCAGCAGCCTGAGGATAGGGCGCACGTGGGTACAAGTCGGCAACAGAGCATCCCGGCCCACGAGCAGATGCACCAGGAGCAGCAGCAGCACATGCCGTCCCTTCAGCAAAACCTGCCACCCCTTCAGCAGCCCATGTCAACCTTTCAGCAACAGCAACAGCTACAGCAACAGCAGCGCCATAACCAGAGCAGGGAGGAGATGAGGAGGCAGTTGGTGGCAGAGCAGCACAGAGCAGTGGAGGAGCAGCGTGAGGACGTTGTTGCTAGCAGCGTGGGCACAGTGATGCGCTCGGCTGAACAGATGAGCTCAGGTCTGGGCAGCGGCATGAGAATGAATGAGGGGAGGCAGTTGGTGGCAGAGCAGCACAGAGCAGTGGAGGAGCAGTGTGAGGAGCAGTGTGAGGAGCAGTGTGAGGAGCAGTGTGAGGAGCAGTGTGAGGAGCAGTGTGAGGAGGCGCTTGCAAGCAGCGTCGGCACAGGGATGGGCTCGGCTGAACTGATGAGTTCAGGCGTGGAAAGGGGAACGGGCATGGACATGGGCACGGGCAGGGGCATGCGCGAGAGTAGTGGCATGGGTAGAAGGGGGAGTGGTGCAGCGAGTGCGGTGCTTCCTTCTGTTGAGCAGCACATGGGATGGCTGGCAGCACAGGCTAGCTTGCAGGAGAAGGAGGAGCAGCGACAACTACAGCAGCAGCAGCAGCAGCACATGCCGCATCCACAGTCTCAGCAGCGTTTGTGGCAGGAGCAGCAGCAGCAGAGGTGCATCACACAGCAGCAAAGGCGAGGGAGAAACCACGTGCATCATTCAAACCACGTGCATCATTCAAACCAAGTGCCACAACACCCATCCTTGGCCCCTTTGCCTGCTGCTACTGAGTTACCTGCAGAAATCTTAAGTGGCCAGGTCAAGCCAAATGGTGCATTAGAGCTAAAAGGGTTGGCCGAGCCAAGGGGTACGGCCGAGCCAAGGGGCCAGGACGGGTCATCACTTGCTGATACTGAGAAGATAAGGAAGAAGCAGCGAGGCATGCACTCTGAGGCGGTGGACGGGAGTGGGTTAGGTGCACAGTCAGCAGCAGTTGCAGCCACTGCCATCACTACTGCCGTGCTGCCATCGGGGGAGACTGTGGATGTGGAGCGAGTGGTGATCGGGCAGGTAAGCTGGGGATGGGAGGGACGGGGTGAGGGAAAGAGTCTGTTTGAGACAGAAAAAACTTACATGAGCATTAATGTAACAGGGTGAGCATGAATGTTACTTAAGCTATTGTCCGTCTTCACTCCGTCTCTTTCTCATGTGTACTCCCAACCCCCCTTTCGTTTCCCCCCTCTCCCTCTCCCCCCGCGTGCTCCTCCTCCTCCCGGCTTTCCCCCTGTCCCAGCTCTCCCCTGCCCTAATCCCACAGCACATGCGTCTGCCCTCCGACTCTTGCGACGTCTCAAAACTCTCCTTCCTCCTTTCCTCCCTCTCCATATTTCCCCCCTTTCCCAGCTCTCCCCTGCCCACATCTCACAGCACATGGGTCTGCTCTCCCACCTCTCCCACCCACACATCGTCGACACTCTTGGCTACAAGCTGCTGGCCGGCAACATCTGTCTGGTAGCCACAGCCCACATGTCGCAGGGGACTCTGCTCCAGTGGCTCAAAGGTTCGTCTGATGTGTTTCTTCAGCTGGACTTCAGGCGATTGTTTTGTGATCCTTCAGCCTTTCTTTCAAGTGTTCCTTCAGGTGTTTCTTCAGGTGTTTCACTTGTGTCAGCCAGGTTCGCCACATCGGCTGGCTGTCTCTCGTTTTTCCGCTTCCCTGCCTCCCTCCCACTTGGTTCGTTCTGTTTTTGCGAGCGCGCGAGTGCTACGAGTGCATCGAGCCAAACCATTAATCATCCCCGTTTCCCCCTTCCACCAATTCCCCCTTCCTCCCCCCCACTGCTCGACTGGCCTGAAACGGTGCACGTTGCATATCGAAAGCCTGACTTCTCGCATTCGCCCACTCGTGCGACTCCCCACTCCTAATCGTCTCAATGCTCCTTACTCCCTCTTCCTTGCAACCCTGCCCTGCACCCAGCCTCCTTCCCCCCTCTACTGGACTGGCCTGCAAGGGTACAGGTGGCGCGGTCTGTAGCCCGAGCGCCCAGATTTGCCCAATCATGTAATCGCCTACGCCCTAATAACTCACGTGCAATTTGCCTTCCCCATTTTTCCTTTCTCCCTCTTTCCCCACCGCCCCCGCTTGTTCTCCAGCCTCCTCCCCTCCTCTGCTGGACTGGCCTGCAAGGGTACAGGTGGCACGGTTGGTAGCCCGAGCTCTCACATTCGCCCACTCGTGCGATCCCCCGCTGCCACATGGCGCGCTCTCCTCACGCCACGTGGCGTTTGGGGCGGACCTCAAGCCGCGTGTCGGGGGCTTTGCTGCTGCCAGGCTGAGAAGGCTGGGGCACCGCAGGTGAGAACTGGGGGAAGGAAGGTGAGAATCGGAGGAAGCTGCCAGGAAGGTGAGAAGTGGGAGAAGCTGCACGTCGGTGGCTTCTGCTGCTGCCAGGCTGAGAAGACTGCGGCACTGCAGGTGAGAACTGGAGGGAAGCTGCGAGGTTGGGTGCAGCATTTCAAATGTTGCCGGCAAGGATGAGAGGCATGTGGGTGGGGTACACAGAGAGGAAACAGAGGGGTTGACTGGTGGACGGCAGGGTTAGGTGCAGCAGCAGCAGTTGGAGGAGAGGATGGGATAGCCTGGAGGGAGTGCCTTTTCATCCCTTCGTCTAAATTTTCCCTCTCCATGCCCACAGGGCATTGCATGGAAATTCATCTGATGACACGGCAGCTGACGTGGCAGCTGACGTGGCGGAGCACATAGCATCGGACATCCACAGCTTTGGTCTCATTCTCCTTCATCTGCTCACCGGCCGCGACCCCTTCCTCTCATCACCATCATCATCACCACCTTCCGCCTCGTCCTCTTCCCCCACCTTCGCTGCCCTTTCGTCCGATGCACAGTGGCTGCTGGCTGAGGTGAGTAACGACAGCTGAGATCAGTCCCGTCTTCCAAGGGATATCACATTTACCATGAACAGTGTTTTTTTGCACATTTGTAGTTTTTCTGGCACATACATGCATTTGCATCAGCCCTGCATCAGTGTTTGCATGTATGTGCATGCCGTCTCATATGCACATGCATGTACTTGCATGCATCACACACATGCCCTGCTTGTGTAGCCCTCCAAGAGCATGGCGGCTTTGCCAGCAACTTGTGGATTTATCGCACTGGAAATACATGCGTGCTATTTGTATGCATGGTTTTGTTGTGCGCATGACCAACTATTGAATGTACGCATTCATGCCTGCAGGTCAAGTCTGCATGCGAGTGCATGGACCAAACGCGTTTGCTGAGTGTAGTTGATCCTTCCCTCGCAATCAAGCGTGCACCCTCCACCATGTTAAGGTATGGCCGGCTATGCGCGGTGAATTGTACTGTCATATACCTTCCCTTCCAATAGTTCTCCACTTATCAGTTTGCTTTATTTCTATACGGATTCAATTTCTTTCATTCTTGCGTGCAGCTTTGCAGAGCTAGCTGTCAGCTGTGCAGCTATACCTCCTGAAGTTTCTTCTATGGCGGAGGCTAGCCATCGACTCAATGTGCTTGGCATCATGTCCTTAGACTTTTGAAGCCTTGTTGAGGAAGTTGGGTGCCTCAAGACAGGTGAGTGTGCTCAAACGTGATGCTAAAATATGTCGCAGCAATTCTCCCTGGATGGTGAAATTAAGGTCAGCTGGTTTCATATGCTAGGTCTCATCATGAATGCGGAGAGGCATGTCTCTGCAAACAAGCAGCAGGGGGGTATTACGAGGGGGGGTATTATTTGCCCATTTTTTTATTATCTGATTGATCCATATCTCAGAACCAATCAAAAGTTGTTTAATCATTGCTTAATATATACGAGTAAGGTAAAGAATGCAGAAACCCTACCAGAGAAACCTTAGCACACGGAAATGTTCACAAGCGAGTTGTCTCGTAACGCAGCTAGGTCTTATGATGAATGTGGCGAAGCATGTCTCTGCAAACAAGCAGCAGCAGCCCTTTCCGTAGTCGTGACTAGTGCAGTTCATGTCAAAAGCCTTCCGCCAGGTCATAGGAGCTTCCGCGCTCCGCGGAACCGTTGAGCTAGCGGATCCGTCAGTGTGTTGCCTCGAAGAACCGCACGCTGAGGAGCGACCAGGGCTGCCAGCAATTTTTCCTTTTCGAGAATTCTCGAAACAATTTTGACCGATTCCTCAGGGCTCTTGCTCAAGGCATAAGATTGTCGGGAGGTCATGCATTAGTGTCTCCCGAAACAAGCCCCCCGTGATATTCAATCGACCTGCGTTTGCAGTATAGTTTGCAGCAAATCGAAGGAGTAAGTGATCCGATCGTATCGGATCTTTTGGGCGTTAGATCCGCTGCCCAACGCCCATTTAACGGTTCTAAGCTAGCTGTCGCGATACGGCTGCATTTATCATAGCCATCTAACCGGGTCGCGGAGTTATACTGCAGGGAAACTCTGACAGTGGAGCAGCGCGAGTCGGGAAGGGAGGAGACTTTTGAGTTGACTCAAAAGTCAACTCGGAGAGTCAGCAGGGTTGACCTGCAGGGAGACTCTGACAGTGGAGCAGCGCGAGTCGGGAAGGGAGGATGGCGCTAGAGAGCGATCGCAGCAACAAGCGACAGAGAGTCACCTCAGGCACGTTGTGCGACGGACCTGCTGTGCGACAGGCTGGGCGTGCGACTGTGTTGCTCTGCGACAGACATGTGCTCGTTCGTGTCGATATGATGTTTTGCTTTAGCATCACACAAATTACGTTCTACTGTACACACATGCGCTACAGGTGCCTAAACGTGCTGCAAAGCAAATTGTTTAAATCCCCCCTAGAGCACCTTGCTGTTTATCCTTACTCCCACCAGATTGCCATTCCTCTCCTCTCCCCCACTCCCCCCCCTCTCTCCAATCCTCTCCGCGTCTCTTGTCCCCGCTCCCCTCCTCTCCACTCCATCATCCTCATCATCCTCTTCCCTCCTCCCCTCGCCACCGTCCCCCCATCCCCCTTACCAGACAACCGCGGGCCCACAGTCCGCAAGGATGAAGCGGCATTTGAGGTTGGCTCCAGGTGAGTGTGTGTGTGAGCGAGGGTACGACTCTCGATGACTTGTGTCATCCTGAGCCTAGTGAAGTGATGAAGGGTTGCCTTTTGATTCGACTCTAAAGTCGTGCGTGTGTGAGTGAGTGTGAGGGTACGACTTTTGATGTCTTGTGTTGTCCGGAGCCCAGTGAAGTGATGACTGATGGGATGGCGACTGCTTAGAATTTGCCGAGTCCCCACAAGTCGCAACCCAGGCTCCGGCTCTCTGTTCTATTATCGGGACTACTGCTGAACTCTTGATTCATGCCTGCGAGTGACCTCCATTCAATTCAACACCATTCAACCCCATAGAACCCGCTGAATCCCATTAAACCCATGGAACTCCAAGGGCTCTGTCTGCAGCATGTCTGTTCTTATACTTTCATTCGCATCTCCTCCCCCTCCCGCCTCTCTCTCTGCCTTTCTTTCGTCCTTCGCCCTTCGCTTCCCTCTGTCCCCCCTCAATCGCCTCCATTCCCCGTTATCCCCATTTCCCGTTTCGCGTGTCCCTGCTTACCGTGTGCCCAACATGTGTTGTCCCATGGCATGGCATGGCAACTGGCAGTTGGCGCGTGCTGGTGCTGCGGCTGGGCGAGCGATGCATGGAGTTTGATGGGCGCATGGACCCCATCGAACAGATGGTACGCGTGGGAAGGAAGAGAGCGGATGACGTGTGGTGTGGGTGGGGAGATGAAGGAGGGGGGTGGGGTTGAGGGATGTGTCATTTTTAAGACGTCTCAGAGGTGCATGGAGTTCGATGGGCGCATGGACCCATTTAACAGATGGTAGGGTTGGGGGGGATGGAAGAAGGGGTGGGAGGGGAGGGGATTTTGAGGCGGGGATTGGGAGGGAGAAGGGGTGGGGGAAGAATGGGGATTTGGGGGCGGGGATTAGGAGGGAGAAGGGGCGGGGAGGGCGTTTCAGGATAGTGAGAATAACATGCGGGTTAGTGAATTCGACAGCTGACGGGAAGGCTATAACGGGGCCCACTCCGCTCCCCCTTTCTCCCTTTCCTCCGTCCCGTCCCTCCCGTCCCTCCGATCCTTCTCCACCACACCACCAGGACCTGTGTCTGACGGTGGTCAGTCGCAACTTCGACGCCCTCAAATGCGAGCTGTCATGGCCACATGCTTACTTCCCTAACCTCCCCCCACTCCCCTTTCTTCCACTCCGTTCCCTCCCTCTCTGTGTCCTCTCCCATCCCTCCGCGTCACCCACCCACCACCAGGACCTGTGTCTGACGGTGGTGAGCCGCAACTTTGACGCCCTCAAGGGCGAGCTGCTGCCGGTGAGACATGCCGTGGTTGATGAGATGAGCAGTTTGATCTTATTCATCATTTGTACATGCCATGTCAAATGCTGTGCCATGCCATGCCATGTCATATCATATGCTGTGGCATGCCATGCCATGTTATGCCATGCCTCACCAGCATCTTCCATGCAACCAGAAGCGATTGCTGCTGGTTTTCATCCATCCCTTCCGTTTGGCCACCTGTTGTTCCCTTCCCACCCGAGATGACTTTGGAGTTGGCTCAAACTTGAACTCGTCCCGTTCGTCCCATCCCAGTCCCATTCCGTCCCCATGACCTGTTTTATTTGCTCAACACTAATTCTCACCTCACCTCACCCCATGCTCCGCCCCGCCCCACCCACCCCACGCGCCTCCCACCCCAATGCAGCTCCTAATGCAGTGTGCAGAGGACCTTCCCCAAAAGGCACCCTTTCACCGGCCTAGAACCTTGCAGAATGCATGACCCCACCCATCCGCCTTGCGCGTCCCATCCCATGCTCCCCACCCCGTGCACCTCACCCCAATGCAGCTCCTAATGCAGTGTGCAGAGGACCTTCCCCAAAAGGCACCGTTCTACACCACTCTGGTACCTCCTCTCCTCTTACCCTCCCCAAATTCTTTCCTCCCTCCTCCCCCTCCTCGAATCCTCCGCCCCTCACCCCCCCGCTGCTCGCCCTTCCATTCCACTTCAAATCCTTGCTCTCCTCGTCCTTCTCCTCCTCAGCTCTTCGCATAAGAGGACCATTCTGTCTCCCTTTATTTCAAAGGCCCACTAATGCCTGCGACTCCTCCTCACACATTGCTGATTGCAAAACCTTTCGTGCTCTTTCCCCTTCTACTTCCTCCATCCTTCCATTTCCCGCTCTCCCCTCTCCCTCCGTCCACTTTTCGTTCGGCCATCTTCCCTAAATGCAGCCCTCCCTTTTTCCTGGCTCATACATCCCCCTCTCCCCCCACTCAACCCCCCCACAGGTGTCGCTACTAAATGTGGACTATGAGGAGTTTGGGGCGTCTGTGGTGGAGCATGTGATGGCAGGCTTGCAGGTGGGTTGTGTGCAGTGCTTCTTGGTGCTGTGTGCTTCGTAATGTGCTGACTTTCGAGATCTAATGTGTAATACACGCTATGTGCAGCGTGCTGTGGGGTGCCTTGCGTGGGTGTATGCATTCTGCGCCCAAGCTGTCTTCCCTCTAACCGCGTGTGCCAAATGCTAAAACAGCACAGCAGATACATCGTGCAACCACACTGTCTATGTGTGTGTTGTACTTGCCACAATTTCTCTTGGCCTCGTGTCCCACACTCAGTCCCCGCCCATTTTTGAGTCGACGGACTCATCACGTGCGATTTCTCTTAGCCTCATGTTCCATGCCCAGTCCCCACCCCTCTCACCTTAATTGCAAGTGCACCTTCTTGACCCCGATCCCCCTCTCGCCTGTCTCTCCCTGGTGCTGTGTGCCTGCCATCATGCAGGCGGCCTTTGAAACTGGAGAGTGCAACAAGATGCGCATTCTTCTGCGCCTTCTCGCGCTGCTGGTATGCCCCCCCCAACCCCCCCACCTCCCCTCGCCGATGCTGCTGCACCTACGTGCTGCTGGTATTATTCCTCCGTTGCACTTCTCAAAAGCCGGAGAGTGCCACAAGATGCGCATTCTGCTGCGCCTTCTCGCGCTGCTGGTATGCCCCCCCAACCCCCCCACCTCCCCTCTCCGATGCTGCTGCACCTACGTGCTGCTGGTATTATTCCTCCGTTGCACTTCTCAAAAGCCGGAGAGTGCCACAAGATGCGCATTCTGCTGCGCCTTCTCGCGCTGCTGGTATGAACCCCCTCCCTTCACCCTTTTTTTTTTGTTGCACCTGCTTGCTTGCACCACTGGTAGCAGTTCGTGCTGCCTTGCTTGCACCACCGGTAGCAGTTCGTGCTGCCTTGCTTGCACCACTGGTAGCAGTTCGTGCTGCCTTGCTTGCACCACTGGTAGCAGTTCGTGCTGCCTTGCTTGCACCACCGGTAGCAGTTCGTGCTGCCTTGCTTGCACCACTGGTAGCAGTTCGTGCTGCCTTGCTTGCACCACTGGTAGCAGTTCGTGCTGCCTTGCTTGCACCACTGGTAGCAGTTCGTGCTGCCTTGCTTGCACCACTGGTAGCAGTTCGTGCTGCCTTGCTTGCACCACTGGTAGCAGTTCGTGCTGCCTTGCTTGCTACCAAAGGTAAGCATGCTGCTGCCAGCTCTGCTTCTCTCCACCTTTTCGAGTCGACTCACAAGTCTTTCGAGTCGACTCACAAGTCTTTCGAGTCGACTCACAAGTCTTTCGAGTCGACTCACAAGTCTTTCGAGTCGACTCAAAAGTCTTTCGAGTCGACTCAAAAGTCTTTCGAGTCGACTCACAAGTCACCTTGCTACCAAAGGTAAGCATGCTGCTGCCAGCTCTGCTTCTCTCCACCTTTTCGAGTCGACTCACAAGTCTTTCGAGTCGACTCACAAGTCTTTCGAGTCGACTCACAAGTCTTTCGAGTCGACTCAAAAGTCTTTCGAGTCGACTCAAAAGTCTTTCGAGTCGACTCACAAGTCACCTTGCTACCAAAGGTAAGCATGCTGCTGCCAGCTCTGCCTCTCTCCACCCTTTCTCGACCCTTTTCCATCTCTGCTTCCATCCCTTTTCACACACGCCTGCTCTGCTTCCATCCCTGTTTGTCGTATAACATATATTCCTTTTCCGTCTATCTCTCCTCTTCTTTATTCCTGTCCCCTCTTTCCCTCTCTCTCATTTCCCTCTCTCCCGTTTCCCTCAGTCTGTGGCAGCAGTAGTGCCAGAGTCTGAGGTGTTGCAAGTTTTGTCTCTTCTGGTCGACACCGCCACCTCGCACCTCGACCCGACAGCTGGCGGGAATCCCAACTGGCAGCCTCGGGCGGACTTCTTTGTCTTTTGTGTGCTTGCCTGCCTTCCCTTTGCCGCTCAAGACTGGCAGGAGGTGCGTGTATATGGTCTTTTGCCCATTGCCTCTTCCCTCTTGCCTCGTGTCCTCCCGTTTGTGTGATTGCCTGCCTTCCCTTTGCCTATTGCCTCTTTCCCTCCCCCCTCCACTATCACCGTGTATGGAATCTCTCAACCCTTCCCCCCCCCAGTCGCATCCGGACGAGCTAGCCAGTCTGCTGGCGGCAGTGCAGGGCTACATGGAAGCCCGCTCGCCGCTCGTCTTCCCCGCACTCGCGGTCTTCGAGCCTCAGCCCACCGACACCACACCGCCACAGGTGGGTTCTGTTGCTCAAGGAAAGTGCCAAGAAAGGGTGCTTAAATCAATCAACTTGAATGCCCGTCTCTCTCCCACCCCCACTCTGCCGGCCCCTGCAACCCATTCTTTGTCCTTGACTTTGCCTGTCTCTCCCCCTTTTCTTTCCGTCATTAGTGCGAAGTAACCATGTGCATGCTGCTCTCTGTGCCTTCACGCTCTTCTCTGCTCTGCGCTTGTCTGTGTCCCTCTGCTCTGCGCTTGCCTGTGCGCTTTTGCAGGACTATCTGGAGGAGCTGTGGGATCGCATCAAGGCATGCAAGGAAGATTCCTGGAAGGCGGAAAGTGGTACGCCAACTCAGAGCGCCCTTGTTTTCGCTAATGACCCCGTATGCCATGCCATGCCTGCTACGGAGTATCTGCATGCATGCACTTTTGAGGCGCCTCAAATGTCGTCTCTTGTTTGAGTGAGTAGCCCCAAATAGCTAATGATCCATTATGCCATGCCTGGTATGGAGTAGCTGCGCGCGTGCACAAAAGCCAATCATCGTCTTGCCCCCCTCTCCTGAAAATTCTCATTAGTGATGTCAATGTGGCAGTCACGTGGTAAAAGTGTGCTTTTGAGACGTCTCAAGAACAGCGTGTTTTTTATAAAAACAACGTGGCAGCCATGGAAAGGCTCTCCTCTTCCATGCGCCATGCGCCACCCTCTCACTCTCTTCACTGCACCCTCCTTTCCCGTTTCCCCGGTCTTGACTCCTGTCTCTCCTTTTCCCGAACTCACAGTGCCTAGCCCCCCCACGTGGCAGTGAAGGATAGGCTCTCTTCATCCATACCTTGCGGCTACGCGACCCTCTCTGCACCCTCTGCACCCTCTGTTCCCATTTCCCCTTCCCCTTTCCCACTCCCCCCTGCCTTTTTCCCACGCTCACAGTACCTCTCGCCCCCACATGGCAGTGAAGGATAGGCTCTTCTCTTCTATACCATACACCACCCTCTCACCCCCCTAGCACCCTCCTTTCTCCTCCCCTTAACTCTTCCTCCGTACCCCTTCCCGCTTCCCCTTCTCCTCTCACAGTGCCCCACCCGCACTTGGCAGTGAAGGAAAGGCTCTCATCCATGCGCCACCCCCTCACCCACTGCACTGCACCCCTCCTCCATTTTCCCCTACCCCTTTTCCCAACCCCCTCCTCTCCTTTTCCCGCTCTTCCAGTCCCTCGCTCCCACGTGGCAGTGAAGGAAAGGCTCTCCTCCTCCATGCGCCACCCCCGCACCCTCTGCACCATCTGCACCCTCCTTTCCCCCTTCCCCCTTCCTGACTCCCCATCCCCACTTCTCCTTTTGCAGTGCCTCGCCCCCACGTGGCAGTGAAGGAAAGGCTCTCCTCTTCCATGCGCCACCCCATCGGCCTCTTCACTCCGCCGCTGCCCCCCCCTGCTGCCGCCCAACTCGACAATGATGCTGACATGGACGAGGGCGACGACGAGCACAAGCAGACAAGAGCCGCCGCCCGGCAGCGGTTTGAGGCGCTGCAACAGTTTCCGCCCCGGATTGGGCGTCTGAAGCTGTTTCCGCCAGCCAAGACCGACGCTGTGAGCACTCTTCCTCGCCTTTCCTCTCTCTTCCTCGCCTTTCCTCTCTCTTATACCCTGCGGTAATGTAGCATCACACATTTTGAGCATCCCACGTTGACTGGTAAAATTGTGTGAAGGTGGGGTAAGAGGCTGAGACAAACTTGACTCGTTTGACCGTGTCAGTAACATTTCCTTGTAACGTGCCCCTCTCTCCCTCCTCCCCCCCCCACCAGACCATGTCACCCATCGACCGCTTTGTGGTGCAGGAGTATCTGCTGGACGTGCTCTTCTACATGAACGGCAGGTGGGTGTGAGGCACATGCTCATGCACTGAATGGCGGGGTTGTGTGCCTAGCGATCGACCACTAGGTTCCATTGTGGTGCAGGAGTGTATCTGCTGGACGTGCTCTTCTACATGAAGGGCAGGTGGGTGCGGCGCATGCTCACTCACGCAATGAAAGCGCAGGGTTGGGTTGTGTTGGGTTGGGTTGGGTTGTGTTGTGTGCCACAGCAGTTGAATGCATTGTGGTGCAGGAGTATCTGCTTGGCGTGCTCTTCTACATGAACGGCAGGTGGGTGCGTGTGGGTGAGTGGTAGGTGGCATGCTCGTGCAATGAAGAGTGGGTTGTGCTCCTAGTGCGAGCAGCTGTAGAAAAGACCGCATTGTGGTACAGGAGTATCTCCTGGACGTGCTCTTTTAGTGAGAGGTACGAGTGTGCGAGGTACCTGGTGGGCCTGCTGTAAGATGCCTTGGTGGCCTACTTGGCTGCTACCTCATCTCATCTCGTCTAGTTGCTTTGCTGCTCCCACCACCACCACTACCCCCACCATCCACACAAGTCGCAAGAAATGTGCGAACTATCTAACGGTCTTGCTACCTTCCTACCTTCCATAGTTTTGTTCTCATCTTATTGCTTTGCCCTTCTACCCTTACCATCCCCACCCACCAACCTCTCCCCACCAGTCGCAAGGAGTGTGCGAGCTACCTGGTGGGCCTGCTATGAGATGCTCCTGTTCATTGTTGTGCTCATCTCATCATTGTGCTCCTGTTCCCACCACCTTCTTTACCCTCACCATCCCCCACCACCTCCCCTCACACCAGTCGCAAGGAGTGTGCGAGCTACCTGGTGGGCCTGCTATGAGATGCTCCTGTTCATTGTTGTGCTCATCTCATCATTGTGCTCCTGTTCCCACCACCTATGATGCGAAAGACGCGTCCTGTGTCCTGGACGCATGCGTCCAGACGCATGCGTCCGGACGCAGGACGCTTCACCAGGACCAGAAAGACGCACCAAAAGACGCAGTCCCGGGCAGGCAAAAAAAGCCCCCGGGCAATGGGGGGGGGCTGTTTTTCAATGTCGAATTGGGCAATGGGGGGTCAAAATTTCGCGATTTCGACACTCGCGTCGAAATCGCGAGATTGAAATTCGTAATCTCGGAAAAAAAAAAAAATCGGGGCAGCCCGAAAATTTTTCGATCTGCGTCCTGCGTCTGGACGCGCGTCTTGCGTCCTAGCGTCCAGACGCTGCGTCCAGACGCAGGACGCAGCGTCCTCTGAGCGTCTTTCGCATCATAGCCCACCACCTTCTTTACCCTCACCATCCCCCACCACCTCCCCTCACACCAGTCGCAAGGAGTGTGCGAGCTACCTGGTGGGCCTGCTATGAGATGCTCCTGTTCATTGTTGTGCTCATCTCATCATTGTGCTCCTGTTCCCACCACCTTCTTTACCCTCACCATCCCCCACCACCTCCCCTCACACCAGTCGCAAGGAGTGTGCGAGCTACCTGGTGGGCCTGCTATGAGATGCTCCTGTTCATTGTTGTGCTCATCTCATCATTGTGCTCCTGTTCCCACCACCTTCTTTATCCTCACCATCCCCCACCACCTCCCCTCACACCAGTCGCAAGGAGTGTGCGAGCTACCTGGTGGGCCTGCTATGAGATGCTCCTGTTCATTGTTGTGCTCATCTCATCATTGTGCTCCTGTTCCCACCACCTTCTTTATCCTCACCATCCCCCACCACCTCCCCTCACACCAGTCGCAAGGAGTGTGCGAGCTACCTGGTGGGCCTGCTATGAGATGCTCCTGTTCATTGTTGTGCTCATCTCATCATTGTGCTCCTGTTCCCACCACCTTCTTTATCCTCACCATCCCCCACCACCTCCCCTCACACCAGTCGCAAGGAGTGTGCGAGCTACCTGGTGGGCCTGCTATGAGATGCTCCTGTTCATTGTTGTGCTCATCTCATCATTGTGCTCCTGTTCCCACCACCTTCTTTACCCTCACCATCCCCCACCACCTCCCCTCACACCAGTCGCAAGGAGTGTGCGAGCTACCTGGTGGGCCTGCTATGAGATGCTCCTGTTCATTGTTGTGCTCATCTCATCATTGTGCTCCTGTTCCCACCACCTTCTTTATCCTCACCATCCCCCACCACCTCCCCTCACACCAGTCGCAAGGAGTGTGCGAGCTACCTGGTGGGCCTGCTATGAGATGCTCCTGTTCATTGTTGTGCTCATCTCATCATTGTGCTCCTGTTCCCACCACCTTCTTTACCCTCACCATCCCCCACCACCTCCCCTCACACCAGTCGCAAGGAGTGCGCGAGCTACCTGGTGGGCCTGCCTGTGCCGTTCCGCTACGAATACGTCATGGCGGAAACCGTCTTCTCCCAGGTGAAAACCACAGAGACATGTTGTCATCCAGCTGCAAAAAACAGAGACATGTCTCCATCCAGGTGGAAAACACTGAGAGTCTTTCAGGTAGAAAAAGAGTTATCTCTCCGCCCAGGCGCTGGACACGCAGACTGCCATGCAGCACCTCTCCTCCACATCCTTTGCCATCACACCTGCAACATCTCTCCACCACTCCTCTTCCTATTCCACACACTCAAACCCTCCAGCTCGCTGTCTCTCCACCTATTGCCACCTCTTTTCACCTCTCTCTACTGATCTCCTCCTACTTTTCTTTCCCTTCTTCCCTTGTTCAGTTGCTGCTGCTTCCCCGGTCGCCCTTCCGCCCCATTTACTACACAATCGTCCTCGTTGATCTCTGCAAGGTGCGTTGACCTCTGCATGGTGCGTTGACCTCTGCAAGGTGGGTTGACTTGGTTGACCTCTGCAAGGTGGGTTGACTCGGTTGACTTCTGCAAGGTGCGTTGACTCGGTTGACTTCTGCAAGGTGCGTTGACTCGGTTGACTTCTGCAAGGTGCGTTGACTCGGTTGACCTCTCTCTGCAAGGTGCGTTGACTCGGTTGACCTCTGCAAGGCGCGTTGACTCGGTTGACCTCTGCAAGGTGCGTTGACTCGGTTGACCTCTGCAAGACAGCTGGCATGCTGATCGTGTTGTGTGTCTTCAAGGCTCAACCTTCTCAGACTCTCCCCGGCACCTTCCCAGCAGTTCGGGCGGGGGCGCTGCTTGTTCCTTTTCCGCAGCTGAACTGTCCTCCCTCCATTGCAACCCTTGACTCTCTCATTCCGTCCCCACTCCCCCACTCCCCAACCCATTCCTCCTCCCATGCCCCTATCTTTGTTCCCTCTCTCAGGCCCTCCCCGGCGCCTTCCCAGCAGTGCTGGCAGGGGCAGTGAGGGCGTTGTTCTCCCGGGCGGCAATCATGGACGTGGAGTGCAGGACACGTGTCATCCAGTGGTTGGCCCACCACCTGTGAGTCCTTCTCCACGTTTCTATCCCCCACTGGCGCCCCAAGGTGACCTAAAGGTTCTGTCCATCATGCTGTTACGGCTCCTCGTAACTGGTAACTTTGATAGTAAAGTCAAGTCAACCTGACATGAAGCACCCACCCACCTCTGCATGGTTCTTTTTGCACACTGTTTACCTTGTCCTGTATGCCGCCCTGCGCACTCCCAGGCCTAATTTTCCTTGAGCCGCCTCAGAAATGGTTCTTATCGTGTGTGAAATCCGCCCATGTCCAACTTCTTTTGAGTGATGCCGCCGCACAATCGTTGTTGTTTCTTGTCCTGTGTGCCGCCCGCCCGCCCAGGTCCAACTTTGCGTTTGTGTGGCCGTGGGCGGCGTGGGCAGCAGTGGCACGGCAGCCGGAGTGGGCCCCACAGAGAGTGTTTGTATCAGAGGTGCTGGAGAGGGAGATCCGCCTCTCCTACTATGACAAGATCAGAGAGGTGGGTGCCTAGTCTATACAGACTGAGTGTTGAACGCAGTGAGTCGCCTGAGCACTCTCTCTCTCGCATGGGCCCCACAGAGGGTGTTTGTGTCGGAGGTGCTGGAGAGGGGGAGATCCGCATCCCCTACTATGACAAGATCAGAGAGGTACCAACGTCCGTCCGAGTGATGACGGTGTAGAAAGAGGTATCACGGGGTGCGTCGCATCGTCTGTGCACTGTCTCACGCACGTCAGCCGGAGTGGTCGCCTCCTCTCCACAGAGGGTGTTTGTGTCGGAGGTGCTGGAGAGGGAGATTCCCCTGTCCTACTATGACAAGATCAGAGAGGTGCGTGTGCAGTGTAATCTGTGTTGTGCACGGTGCACTCTCTGTCTCTCTCTTACTTCCTCTGCATGGGCCCACATGGAGTGGGCGCCAAGAGGGTGTTTGTGTCGGAGGCGCCTCAAAAGCACGGCAGCCGGAGTGGTCGCCTCCTCTCCACAGAGAGGGTGTTTGTGTCGGAGGTGCTGGACTGGAGAGGGCTTTTGAGTCGACTCGAGCGCAACCCGACAACCGCTCTCGCCCCTTCCCTCCCTCCTCGTCCCTCGTTCCCTCCCTCCTGTCCTGCCATGCCTCTCTTTTCCACAGTCCCTCGGAAGCACCGAGTGGAGCAGCTGCTGCCCCCCAAGCCGGAGCCAGTCTTCAAGTTCAAGCGCAACCGAGCAACAACTACTGTCTTTTCCCTCTTGCCGCCGCCTCCTTCTCCCCTCGTGATAGTCCCTGGGCAGCCCAGAGATGGAGCAGCTGCTGCCGCCCAAGCCATTTTGTTTGAGATTAGTTTTGAGAATTCTCAAAACTAACCTGGGCAGCACAGAGATGGAGCAGCTGCTGCCCCCCAAGCCATTTTGTTTGAGATTAGTTTTGAGAATCCTCAAAACTAACCTGGGCAGCACAGAGATGGAGCAGCTGCTGCCGCCCAAGCCATTTTGTTTGAGATTAGTTTTGAGAATTCTCAAAACTAACCTGGGCAGCACAGAGATGGAGCAGCTGCTGCCCCCCAAGCCATTTTGTTTGAGATTAGTTTTGAGAATTCTCAAAACTAACCTGGGCAGCACAGAGATGGAGCAGCTGCTGCTGCCCAAGCCATTTTGTTAGAGATTAGTTTTGAGAATTCTCAAAACTAACCTGGGCAGCACAGAGATGGAGCAGCTGCTGCCGCCCAAGCCATTTTGTTTGAGATTAGTTTTGAGAATTCTCAAAACTAACCTGGGCAGCACAGAGATGGAGCAGCTGCTGCCCCCCAAGCCATTTTGTTTGAGATTAGTTTTGAGAATTCTCAAAACTAACCTGGGCAGCACAGAGATGGAGCAGCTGCTGCCGCCCAAGCCATTTTGTTTGAGATTAGTTTTGAGAATTCTCAAAACTAACCTGGGCAGCACAGAGATGGAGCAGCTGCTGCCCCCCAAGCCATTTTGTTTGAGATTAGTTTTGAGAATTCTCAAAACTAACCTGGGCAGCACAGAGATGGAGCAGCTGCTGCCCCCCAAGCCCGAGCCCGTCTTCAGGTTCAAGCGCAACCGAGCCGCGGGGCCGGGGAGACGGCTGGCGCCTGCAGAGCATTGGTGCTTGCTCTTGATCCTTGGTTGTGCTGTCCACCCATCTGCTCTCTGCCTCTCTGCCCCTCCTGCTCCCCTTGTCACAGTCCCTTGGTTCCGCGGAGATGGAGCAGCTTCTCCCTCCCAAGCCCGAGCCCGTGTTCAATTTCAAGCGCAACCGCGCCGCGGGGCCGGGGAGACGGCTGGCGCCTGCAGAGCATTGGTGCTTGCTCTTGATCCTTGGTTGTGCTGTCCACCCATCTGCTCTCTGCCTCTCTGCCCCTCCTGCTCCCCTTGTCACAGTCCCTTGGTTCCGCGGAGATGGAGCAGCTTCTCCCTCCCAAGCCCGAGCCCGTGTTCAAGTTCAAGCGCAACCGCGCCGCGGGGCCGGGGAGACTGCTGGCGCCTGCAGAGGGGGAGGGGGAAGGGGAGGGAGAGGGGGAGGGGCGCGGGAGGAAGGAAGGCGGGGGGGAAGGGGAGAAGAAAGAGGGGGAGAAGTCGGGAGAGGGAGAGGGGGACCGCGACATGAAGGAGGGGGGCGAGGGGGAGGGCGGGGAAGGGGGGAAAGACGGGGGGAAAGACGGCGGAAAAGGCGCAGTGCAGCAGTATGGGGAGGGGGTGGATGCAGCAGCGGTGGAGGTAGCTGAGGAGCTGATAGTGATGGTGCGGACGAAGCGGGCAGGCAGGGAGGTGGCGGCGTGGGTGGAGGAGCAGGCGGTGGGCAAGGTGGGCGGGGACAAGGGCCGCGTGCTGGATGTGGTGGCCCAGACGCTGCTGGTGCTGGGCTCCAAGAGTATTACCCATGCGGTTACCGTGCTGGAGAGATACGGGCTGGCGCTGCAGCTGCTGGCGCCTGATCAGGTGGGTTTGGTTTGGGGTGGGATGGGGCTGTGTGCGCTGATTTAGGGGCTCTTCTGCTGCTGGTGCTGGTGCTGGTGCTGGGCTCCAAGAGCATCACTCATGTGGTTACTGCGCAGGAGAGACATGGGCTGCCGATGCAGCTGCTGGCGCCTGATCAGGTCAGTTTGCAAGAGTGACTGCCTCCCTCCACTCTCCCCCCCCCCCACACTGCAGCCCTCCCAGGTGCAGCTGCTGCACAGCATATGGACGGTGTGGGCCAACGCCTCTCAGATGGCGTCATTGGTCACCTAGTCAAATGCGGACAGCACACTCCTTTCCCGTACTCCCCCCCGCCCCCCCTTATCGCTCACCCTCCCCGCCCCACCACAGCCCTCCCAGGTGCAGCTGCTGCACAGCATATGGGCCGTGTGGGCCAACGCCCCTCAGATGGCAGCAGTGGTGGGGACGAGCTAACAAGTGCCAAAAACACACATGCTCTCCCCCACCCCTCTCCCCTGTTTCCCCCACCCCAACAGCCCTCCCAGGTGCAGCTGCTGCACAGCATATGGGCCGTGTGGGCCAACGCCCCTCAGATGGCGGCGGTGGTGGTTGATCGCTGCCTCGGCTTCCGCCTCGTCTCGCCTCTCGCTCTCCTCGACTGGTGCTTCGTGCCCGCTCATTACGAGCTCTACCACACCTCCGAACGCATCTGGGAGGTGAGGTTGGTCCCTGTTGAGTCGACTGAGAAGTCGCTTCCGTCTCCTCCTCTCCCCACTCGCTCTGCTCGACTGGTGCTTCGTGCCCGCTCATTACGAGCTCTACCACACGTCCGAGCACATCTGGGAGGTGAGGTTGGTCCCTGTTGAGTCGACTCAACAGTCGCCTCCGCCTCGTCTCCCCGCTCGCTCTGCTCGACTGGTGCTTCGTGCCCGCTCATTACGAGCTCTACCACACGTCCGAGCGCATCTGGGAGGTGTGTGCTTGAGAGTGGGTGATGTGGGCTTGGGGGAGGGAAGTGAAGTGAACCCTAAACCCCCAACCCACCTTGGAGTTGAGTGGAGTGGAGTGGAGTGGACTACTTGTGCTGCTGCACGGATTTTGCTTCCTCGACCTGCACTCCTGAACCTGGACGCATGCACACACTTGCTGCCCCTTCTTTTATCCCTCCCCCTTCTTACCCATGTCCCGTGCCGTCCTCCCCTTTCCCCCTTCCCCCTTGCCTCCTCCCCGCCCTCCTTCAACACACCCCTTCCCTTCTCCCCTCACCGAAATCAGATTCTCCGCACCGCCCTCTCAAAGGCCACCAACTGTCAGTCAAAACTTCCACGCATTCTCTCCTCCCCCACTCGTATCCCCCTCCTCCTTTCCCCTCCCCCTTCTTCCTCCTCCTTTCCCCTCCCCCTTCTTCAACCAAATCAGATTCTCCACACCGCCATGTCAAAGGCCGCCAACCGCCTGCGCCACGTCAGCGCTGAGGTGGCGGTTCTCGAGAGGGCGTCGGCTGTGGCAGCAGCGGCTGCCAGCAAGGCGCGCAGCGAATGGGAGGCTTCCACGTTGGCAGAGGAGGCGGAGGGAGAGAAGGCGAAAACACAGGCTGCAGCCAAAGCTGAATGGGCCAAGGTGGGGGGTGTGTGGGGTGCGGTGAGGATAGGTGGGGATAGGTGCAGTGTAGTGTGGGGACCAGGCAAAGTCGGCAATTGCACCTCTTGTTCTGCCGTTCCCACGCTCGATGTCTCTCCCCTCTTTACCCCTCTCTGCCCCTTTTTACCCCTCTGCCCTTTTTTCCCTTCTCTCCCCTTTTTTCCCCGCTCTGCCCTTTTTACCCCTCTCTCCCCTTTTCACCCCTCTCTGCCCTTTTCACCCCCCTCTCCCCTTTTCACCCCTCTCTGCCCGTTTCACCCCTCTCTCCCCTTTTTACCCCTCTATGCCCTTCAGCATCGGAGCAGCAAGGCACAGGAGGAGGCGGAGGCAGCAGCAGCAGCGGTGGAGGGCAAAGAGAGGATGAGGCGAGAGGCCGAGGAGGAGGAGCAGGTGAGAGGAGAGCGGTCCAGATGGGTTGGGTTCGGTGAGTTGGGTTGGGCATCAACAGCACTAGCAGCTGAGCAGCAAGAGGAGAAAGAGAAGAGGGTTGAATGAGAGCGGTGGAGGAGGTGGAGGAGGAGGAGGAGGAGGTGGAGGAGAAGCAGGCGTTGTTAGTTGGAAAGTGCATGAGATGGGAAACGGGTGGGAGGGGAAGCAATGAGTTAGTGCTTGGAGAACTCATTGCTCCCCCCTCTTCCCACTTCCATCTCTATCAACCCTTTTGGTTTACGGCACTAAGAAAGTGTGGCGGAAGGAAACATGAGGTTGGGTTATATTTCCTTCCTTCTCCGTCCCCACTCGATCTCCTCCCTGCCGCTCATTCCCCTGCTGTGCTTCGCTCCCCGTTTTTCCTCTTCCCCCAAGGCCTTGTTCATTGCTCTGCTGCTTCACTGTGCTACGGCTGTCAGCAACAGGCGGGCTGCTGTGGCAGAGGCAGCACCTTGACTCAGGCGTTGCTTCCCCCTCCCTTGTCCCGTGCTCCCATCCCTCCTCCCCCTCCTTTTCTCCAGGCCCTGTTCATTGCGCCGCTGCTTCATGAAAGAAGTAGTGTTTTGAGACGTCTCAAGACATTGCGCTGCTGCTCCGCTTTGCTACAGCTGTCAGCAAATGGCGGGCTGCTGCTGTGGCCGACGTAGCACCTTGACACATGCTACGACTTTTGAGGCGCCTCAAAAGCCGACGTAGCACCTTGACACATGCTTCTTCCTCGTTCTTCTCTCCTCTTCCTTTACTCCCATCCCTGCTCCCCTCCTCCCCCCAGGCCCTGTTCATTGCTCTTTTGCTTCACTTCGCTACGGCCGTCAACAATCGGCGGGCTGCTGTGGCTGAGGCAGCAGCGCGGGAGGAAGAGGAAGAGGAGGCGAGGAGGGTGGAGGAGGAGAGGATGGAGGAGGATGAGGGGGACGACACGGGAATGGATGGAGAGGAGGGCGGGGATGGTGGCAGTGACAGGTGAGGGCACATAAGAGGGGGGGATGACAGGGGGTGGAGGAATATAAAAGTTGGGGGGGGAGGGGAGGGGGGAAGAGAGGACAAGGGGGGTGCGGATGAGGTGGTGGAAACGGGATGATGCTGTTAGAATGGTGCTGAGTATGGGAAGTCACAAGCTCTAGCGATGTTGCAAGCTGTAGAGGGGTCACAAGCTGTAGAGGGGTCACAAGCTGTAGAGGGGTCACAAGTTGTAGAGGGGTCACAAGCTGTAGAGGGGTCACAAGCTGTAGAGGGGTCACAAGCTGTAGAGGGGTCACAAGCTGTAGAGGGGTCACAAGCTGTAGAGGGGTCACAAGCTGTAGAGGGGTCACAAGCTGTAGAGGGGTCACAAGCTGTAGAGGGGTCACAAGCTGTAGAGGCTGTGGGAGGACAGAAACTCCCACAGCCGCTAGAGCCTGGAGTACACAGGGGATTCGGGAGGACACAGGCTCTGAAAGGCACTCCAGTGTTTCCCTTTCCCTTTCCCTCGGTTCCCGCCTCTCCCTCATTTACCTTCTTTCTCTCTCTCCTCTCCTCGATGTGCTGTCCCTGCGGTGACTCCAGGAGGCTGGCAGGGCGGAGGAAGAGGGAGGAGGAGAGGAGGAAGGAGGAGGAGGAGCGGGGGCACAAGAGGCGGCTCAAGGCGGCGGGGGAGAAGGAGTGGATGCGCTGTGTGCTGGGCCACATGCGCTCGCTGTGCCGCTACCACAGCCCGCAGGTGTGTTAAGTTGGGTATGGCAGGTGAGATGCTTCAGGCAGGTTGGGTGTGGCAGTTGAAATGTCTCAGGAGTTGAATCAAAGCGACTGGATGTGCTGTGTGCTGGTGCACATGCGCCCACTATCCCGCCCCTACCACAGCCAACCAGTGTGTTAGTCTGGCACAGGAGGTGGCATGCTGGCCTGCCATCATATGCTGGCCTGCCATCATATGCTGGCCTGCCATCATATGCTGGCCTGCCATCATATGCTGGCCTGCCATCATATCCATTACATAATTCTCATTCCTATTCTCCGTCCCCCTCGACCTCAAGGTCAGCTCCCTGCACCTCACTGCACCTCACTGCACCTCCCTTGAGCTCAACGTTACCTCCCTGCACCTCTTTGCACCTCCCTGCACCACCAGGTGTGGCGCATGCTGCCAGCCATCGAGGCGCAAGTCTTCTCACAGGTCCAAGACCCAGTCATCCGCGACACTCTCATGTCCGCCCTGCTCTGCCCCTAGCCGCTGCTGCTCTGCTCGTGGGGGATTCTTCTCTGCCGTTCCTGCTCCTCTGAGCAGAGAAGAATCCCATGTCTCTGCCCATAGCTGCCTGTATGCCTCTCCCATGTCTCTCTCAGCATCCATTAAAATGGTTTGTGCCTGCCTGTAGCTGCTGTTGGCTCACTAGGGGCTGATGTTCATGACCTGCTGCATCAGTTTTTGAGGCGCCTTAAAAAATCGTCTCAGTTCACACTGCCTGTAGCTGCTGTTTGCTCACTAGGGGCTGATGTTCATGATCTGCTGCATTGGTTGCTGGTTGCGTAGTCTTCTGTTACACTTAGTGGTCCTCACTCGTGTTCACTATGCATTGGAAAAGGATCGCAATGGCAACTGGTGGTGCGTGCTGCTTCGCGTACAGTATGTGAATGTGACTCTGAAATTGCTACAACTCTACCAATCATGCATCCGGACCTAGGCAAGAACTGTAAAACCTAGCCTAGATAATAGCAACAACAGTAACTACCGTAGGAACATGCAAGGGGCAGTGCTAGTAGCCTGTACGATGTGCCCTTGCGAATCAAGGAGCAGCAAAAGGAATGGTTCACCTCTAAGGATCTCAAACACCAACATGGTACCCAGCATTCACCCATGGTAGCTGCTGCAGACTGAAACTTCCAACGGTAAGTACCAATTCAACCTCCACTCCACGCTGTACAGTGCAACGCAACTACCGTATCACAACGGTTGGGTCCAGCCTTGATTGTCTCGCAAGCGTCGGTCAGTTGGGCACGAGAACGCAGTCAATGACATGCCCCTTCACATACTTGCCGTTGAACAGCTTCTTGGTGTCCACCTGCGCCCAAAACAGCTGCTGCGCTCCCGGGCTGCTCACCGCCACACTCGTACCGGGATTCCAAAACTTACTCGCCCGCACGCTGTGCTTCACTATGCTCTTCCCCGCCTCAGTAGGTATCTTGCTGCGGTTGGGCAGGGCTTTAAGCTGCGCAAAGCTGTAGAGCCCTGATAGAGTGTGATACTTCACAATCTCAGAAGGACTGACTGCAGAGACACGCGGCCGGAAGGTTGCTTTTGTGAACGCAAAGTCGGAAGGTGCGAGGAAGGTGAGCTCCTTGTAACCTGCAGAGAAGCTAGCTTCAGTGAGTTTCTCTGGTACGGAAAGGGAGGGGGAAGTGAGGTGGGAGATAGGGGAAAGGAGGGGAGTGAAATCAGGTCAGGTGGCTTCGGGGTGAGTCTTGGATCGCCTCGAGTAAGGTCAGCGCTGAAAACTTAGTGTGAACGATTTGCGATCTGGACACAGATAAGAAACTATTGGAAAAAACAAAAACAGAAACAAAAACAACAACAGCAGCACACACACACACACACACACACACACACACACACACACACACACACACACACACACACACACACACACACACACACACACAAACACACACACACACACACACACACACACACACACACAAACACACACAAACACGCACACACGCGCGCGCGCGCGCACACACACACACACACACACACACACACACACACACACACACACACACACACACACACACACACACACACACACACACACACACACACACACACACACACACACACACACACACACACACACTCAATCACTCGCTCACTCACCGACTTCACTGGCGAAGCTAGACACGGCTTTCGCCATGACGCTACAGCTTTGTTTCTTGAGCCTCGAAGCGAGCGTGTTGAGCTCCGCCAGGTACTCCGCCTTGGTCGGCGACACCGTTCCCACCTGAGCCCACGCAGTCGGGGACAACGAGAGCAGCAGCAGGCAGAGAACGGCGTACCACGACGCGTGCGAATGGCAATGATGCGACGAGGCACCTGCCATACTTGTAGTAGGAGACGGTAAAACTAGTAATATTTGTAATATGTATTGGCTGTTGTAATATTAGGTATCTATCACTTTGCTATGCGTACTATAGTGGCATAGAAGAGTTGAGCACCTCGAATAAACGGCTTGCTAGACGAGCACGAGAGTCATCATGTGCATCGCAAAGATGAATTAGAGCAACAATCGCCATGACGATGAGAAATGTAAGATTTGGATGCTTCGCATTCATTCTTTAGAAGGCGAAGCCGCCGCGGCACAATCTGTCACCGCGACGTGTATCATGAAATTCGGTGCAGCTGGTGCCTGCGGGGAAAAAGGCAATGTCCAAGCTTCCTTGCATGTCTCGTGATTCAAGCAACAACGCGGCTGCGGCTCGGGAAGGTTGACTGTGTGCAATTCTCCGTGTGGGTTGGGTTGGGTAACCTCTGCGTGAGAGAGATTGATGAGTCGTAAAATGTTGGGCCATTTTCAACGGAGTTCAACTTATGCCAGTGCAATTACGCGGATGCATACAATAGACGGCCGCAGAAGAAAGAGGCTGACGGACTGCTATCTGCCTGCGGTCAGAAACAAATAAACCCCATCTGGATGGCATGCGACTGGGGGGACCCTAAACACGGGTAACCGCATGATTTTGCCGGCAGGCCGACATTTTTCCATAACCGTCTAATGCATGCATTCGAAAACTTGCACTAGCGAAATCTGCATGCTTTAGATAAAAGCCGTAAAATGCTCTTTGGATCAGGCATCGCTGGGTTCTCTTTGTATGTGAGCATTCGACATGTCAGCTTTGTGGTGTCGACCGGAAGCGCACCTGATTTGGTACGTCAAACATTGTTGCAGCAGTGTCATTCCGAAGCGCATCCACAAAGATTAGTGACGCAAACTCATTGGTTGAGAGCGATTCGTGTTTCGTACTCATGGGATTTCGTGCAGCGACATGTCAACGAACTTGAATCCACACCTTTCACTCAACGAAAGTCAACGCTGAAATAGTAAGTTCAGACTGGTCCCTGACCATTGGAGGCCGCACGGGGGATCACCGGCGATGACAATACTGGTTGTGGGTTTGAAGAAAGAGGTCGGCGACTTTCGGTTGTTGTCGACCTAGTCAGTCGTCCTAGTCGGAATGATCCTAAGTCGGAAGCCCGTAAAGTTTGCCGACCTAAACGCACTCTACACCGGCGTGGCTCGTCGTCGACCCTGCACCGCGCGTGGTCGGTCGGTCTCCGAGAAGCGTGAAAATGAGCAAGGGAAATGTGGCTCACCAGAATGGAAATGAATGCAACGCAACAAACAAGTGTCGAAATGCCATGGACACTTGGCCGTCAGGGGGTCATAGCATAGAGAGGCACAGTCGCGGTTCGGGCGGACAGGTGTTGGCGGGCGATCCGTGGGCATGTCTCCAACTCTGCATGCAAGGCAGAACGGCACGGCGGCGCAATGGTCGACGTTGCACGGGGCACTCATGTCTTTTACGCAGCTGACCGTCCGGTGTTCCCGTCACGGTGAATCGTGCTTACACGTCGGCGTGACGCAGCAGTGCTCATGGCGTCGCCCGACGATGGTATCCCGCGGGGACGTTCCCGCCAGCAGGTCGGCGAAGGCTTGATCGCCGCGTGGACAGACGTTTGCCGATCGATGTTCGCCGCGTGGAATGTTGTGTTTCGGATGGGCGACGTGTGGCTCTGCGCGCCAGCGCAGTGGCCGGCCAGAAATCGCGGTGGGCCTCACGTCGCAGTCCGCGCCAATGGCTAGGTGGACGTCGTGGCACGCTGACCGCGACCGGCGTCGTCGAGGTGTCGACCTCGTACGGAGGGTCCGTTGAGAGGTGCTATCGGGGTATTTCTCATCGGGATTGCCGGGCGACGCAGGGTGACGCTCCTCGCCCAGGACGTGCACTCAGTTAGCCGGACAGGATGACGCAGGGTGGCGGATCCCTTTCCCGAGCCGCGTCGTTTTTGCACCCGGATGTAGTCGGGGCGTTGAGATATACCATGCTAACAACATCCCGCCGGACAACACCCCGCCGAACGATACATTGCCACTTCACACCCCGCCGACCATTGTGCCGCCGACCACGGCCACTCCGAACATCACCCAGCAGAACACCAATCCGCCGCCCTTACTTCCCGAAATTCCCGAACTGACCGACATTGCCGCGGAGTTGACGATCGCCGAGAACGTTGAGAGGGCCGAAAGACGGGCGGCCTTTAGGGCCACGGTGCGAAGGCAATACACGGCAGCGATTGTGCAGTATCGACTTTGGTGGGCTGAGCACGTACCGCAGCGAGATCGCAGCGACAACTAGAGGCCGACGGGAACAACTCTACCCGCCGAGATGGCTGGCGTCGCTCCGCCGGCGCGGAGCAGCGCGATTCCCGACCTGAACGAGCCTTTCATGGAGGAAGATGTAGACGCCGCTAGGGCAAATATTCCCGCCGACATGGTGGTCGACGTAGACGCCGCTAGGGCAAAAATTCCCGCCGACCGGACCATCCCCCTACCGCCAGGGACGAAAGGGGCTCCCGAACCCGGGCCGGACCGGTACTCGCCGCGTTCGGACACGGAGCAGCCGCCGCCAATTGGACCATTTCCAGAAAACGACTACATGTATCTGACCGTAGAGGACTTGTTGGCAGCCGACGAGAAAGATGACGCCTTCCTGCATAACATTCCTCGCGACGATTTTGCGGAAGCCGCCTTCGACATCAACAAAGAGCTCGCCAAGAAGAACAGATTGCTGAGGATGATGTGGGCTTTCCGGCATCTGGACACGCTGGAGGCGAGAACGACCCGGGTTCAGTACCTGCGGGCGCTGCTCGACTTCAGGAGATGGTGCTGCGCGAACCTTCCAAGACAGCCAACCGCCAGAGTCAAGGGGGACGGCGTGCTGGAACACGAGGACGAGATAGGGAGGTACATCGACGAAGACATGGGTGATCAGTGGCACACCGCCAAGGGCGACCTACAATGGATGCACGGTCCCTGCGTCAACGCCACGCGGATCAGGGCGTACATTCTGTCAATCGCAAGGGAGTATGGTATTGCAAAGGCCGAGGAGCTCGAGGAGCTGAATCCCGACGTCCGTGTCCAGCCCCTGAAGCCGACATCGGTTTCGATGCTG